CCTTCTGCAGAACGTGAGAAGCCATCAACCGAGATCCTTTGTCAAATATTTCATAGAGGTTTCATTTCAAGTAGACCTAAGTGATTGGCTTATGTATAGGACTTACTTTTTACCTGAATACTTCCACAAGCTTGTAACACGATCTCAATCTGTCCAATTGCAGGAAGCGAAACGAACAACTCTTATGGCTCAGCAAAGACTCTCAATGATGATGATAGTTCGAACAGGTGTGACAGAATAATTGCTTTTCTTGATTGGGCCAGGACAAAGCTACGCTGAATGGGTTGATTCTGTTGTAACATAGTCCTACATATGCTCTTTCACCCAAAAAAACATAGCAAGCATGCTAGTCTTCGTTTTGCTCGCGCAAGCTATACTAATTGTTGATGCAAGGATTTACTTTGTAAACTCTGTCTCTCTTTGTAGGCTTTCAAACTTTTTGCTATTCCGACAACCGCCAACGTCGATATCAATGGATTCGTTCATGCTCAAACCTAGCTCCAATATGTCGGCTATACGTGAAAGCATCAATCTGGAGTTAAAAAATCTCGATACTGGTTGGTGTATATCTTTCTATCCCTTAAGTTATCATGCTTATCCTTTTCATGAATTTCACACTTTCAGGTTTGCCAGAGCTGGATTTCGCTAAGTTGGAGGAGCAGCTCAAAAATGCCGCGAGAGAGCGAGAAGAGCACGATCGGCGTCTTTTGGGTGAAGAGGTGAGTTCCACCAATTTTCTGAAAGTTGTTAAATGATATTTTCTAAATCCTATGGAGTAAAATACAACAGAAAAATCATCAACTTCATAATAACAACGTAATGCGAACGTTAATTGCAGCTATTAGCCCCATTCAAGCCTAATAGGCTAACCCGAAAATTGCAAAAGACTTGTTATTAGCTTTGTTACTTCGTCTAAGCACTCTTCGTGCATCCGCCCTCGCAAAAATCTCGATTTTTCTTTGTTATACTTGTGTTCTTTGCTGCTGTCACGTACTTTTTTCAGGTATCGGGTCGCATTTCGTAGATTAAATTACACAAAGAGCTTGAGCAGGAGTGAAGAAGTGAAAATGGCTTTAGCTGCAGACTTTTTGTCTATGACCACTTTGTAAAAGGCTTCTTTGATTAGTAGATACTGGTACTGGTATAGCTAGGGCAAAATAGCAGCGCCGCGTCGACTGACTTTTTCCGCGCCAATTTTCGCGAGAACTCGTTTTTGTAAGAAGGAATGCAGGGGCTCACAAAATCTGGCTAGCTGTTGGTGTCTCAAAGTCTGCCTCTCGAATGTACCGTCTGCGCGGAACCACGTACTTGCGTACGAATCGGTGTAACGCAGCTAATCAAACAGAAATAATCTGGTCACTGCGTAAAAAGTTCACCCAGCCAAGCGCTACGAACTAAGCTGAGCATGACGCTTGTGCTCGGGTCAAAGCAGCGCTGACAATGTATTCGTCGTTGGACGAGACTCAATTTGTTGTCGACGACGTGTATGCCTCGATGAACAGCTGATTTCATGGGCCGCAAATCGTATTTGCAAGTGCATTTCTCAGCCGACGACCCCCGGGGGCTGCGTGAATGACAAACATGCGAGAAAGCGTGAACGAGGTAAATACGAGAGAGAGAGGAAGAGCAACGAAGAACACGACGAGATTGAGCGAGGTGCGTGTAGGCAAATTGCGTCTTGAGCATTTTGTTGGCCGCTGGGGAATTCGAATCTGCGCCGAGGCATCGGCTGAATGAGAA